ACCCTAAACCCTAAACCGGCACTCTAAAGCCCCGAGCTCTGAAGTCCTCACCTGCAGGTTCCCTTAGAGCTTCTCCTGCCCGGGCTGGAGAAGCCAGGCCCTTCTCTTTTATTTGGGTTTAGGATTTACTTTGTCATAGTGGGGTAACATTTTACATTTTTAAGGGTACTAAAACCCAATAAGGAATATAAATTAAAATTTTAAATGCTACCCAACCATGAACTAGTTTAGGGTTTAGGGTTTAGGGGTTTAGGGGTTTAGGGCTTAGAGTTGAGGGTTTAGGGTTTAGGGTTTATTTGGGATGAGGTTTCGAAACAGCCCATCGGATTTTACTAGGATGGTATGATGGCTTGTTACTAGCCTTGGAAGGGGAATGTACTGGGTTCTACGGGGTTTTTGGTAAGTTACTAGGGCTTTCTGAGGGTTCAACCTAAAAGGGTTTAGGGGAAGACGGGGACGGTGCAGACACTGAATTTTTGAACCGGCAGAGGCCCACAAAGCAACGACCTGCCATGGATGACCCACATGTGGTGCTACTCAGGGTTTAGGGTTTAGGGTTTAGGGTTTAGAGTTCAGGGTTTAGGGTTTAGAGTTAAGCGTTTAGGGTTTAGGGTTCGTTCTTGCTGAACCTCCGTATGCTCAGACATTCTGTGTGTTTGCGAGTTTTCCTGAGCATGGTGTGGAAGCGCAGTCGTGAGAGCTGAACTTCTGCGGGCTCGGACATTCAGGCGATTGCACAAGTCCTGATGCAAAAAGGGTTCGTTCTTGTGTTTCTGTCACTCCTGCGGTTGCACCCCTCGTTAAACGAGAAGGCCCTGCTGTTGAGGAGTGTTCGCCGGCACACAATCCAAGCCCATGCTGAAGAAACGGGAAGATGGGGTGGTAGAAACTCAGACTTTGCTTGGCAGAATGCACGGGTTGTTGAATACCAGGGGAGTCCTCCCGGAGTCCTTTTTTGCATCAGGATCCGATTATTTAGGGTTTAGGGTTCCCCAGTCTCTGCAACTGCCACACCCCACAAAAGGCTGCATAGACATGTCTTGAAAAAAAGCCCTGGCGGGTTCCAGGACTCAGCTGCAATGCCGACGAGCAAAAAACCCTATTCAGACCCTAAACCACGCCAAACCCCACAGCCCTATAAGCATAAGCCCACCCTAAACCCTAAACCCTAAACCCCTAAGGCCTAACACCCTAGATGGACGGGGCTTAGGAAACACATGTAGAGACCATCCATGAGCATACAACGCACGATCATAGCCCCAAGCCCGGCTCCTGCCTGAAACCCACGGTTTAGGGTTTAGGGTTTAGGGCTTAGGGTTCAGGGTTTAGGGTTTAGGGTCTAGGGCCTACTAGGGCTTTGGGTTTAGGGTTAGGGCCCTAAACCCCAAACCGCCAGGGCAACCACGGGGGCATCTCCGCTATCTTGCCTTGGCGATGGCTTTGCTGACCGCCCTGTGCCAAGGAGAGGGGTCTGGGAATTGCTAATGTAGGGGCCAAACTAATTACCTATGTTATGTTGGTGGCTCCTTATTATAATTATAGTATAATGGGCCCAAAACCCTATTCTAATTATTACGGCCCCTATATCAGGGTTAAGGGTTTAACATTGGGATTGCTTGAAACCTTTTAAACCCTAAACCCTAAATCCTTTTGAGGTTACCTCCCGCATGGGATACTATATAGTGGCAGACAGATCAGATAAACGGTGCGACACGGGATCTATTTAGGGGCCCGGGAAGGGCCGTGGAGGGTTAATGTTTCAGCTTTTGTTTTGCTATCGGGCGCAAGAGTGATTTGGGGTTTCTGCGGCTTGCCAATGCCATTACAAATTGCAAACGTGGTATCGCAAGTGCCTTGAGAGGGACTTGGGACTAGAAGTATTCTATCTGCAGTTTATTCATGTTGAACCTGTGTGTCCATACCCTTGCAGTGTCAGTGCGCTACCTCAATGGCAAAGAGCCAGAGGGAGTTTCCGAAAACTGGGGGTGCCTTATTTTGGGGTCCTTATAATAAGGATCCTACTATTAAGCGATATATTAGGCTCCCCTATGTTCGGAAATGCCCATATCAGAAGGCCCCAACAGCTTCATATACTATGGTCCGTGGGCCCAAGCACACCCAAAAGATGAGTCCTAAGAGCCCTTCAGGGTACAGCGCTAGGGCCGTAAAGCCCTTTATAAGGCCTTCATCCGCAAGAAAGAAACCCTAAACCCTAAACCCTAAACCCTAAACCCTAAACCCTAAACCCTAAGCCTTAAATCCTACACCCAAGCCTCGAAAAGCCTCAGGCCCAGGAGGATGCCTTTAACGGTTCCTTTAGGGGTTGGGGTTGCTCTAAGGGTTCCTATCAAGAGTGGAGGTCTGGGGGTTTCTGCAAATACAGGGCCCTAATATAGTACCCTAAATAATAGTAGGATCCATATAATAAGGACCCCAAAACCCTCAACCCTAAACCCTAAACCCTAAACCCTTGTTTTGGAAGCTCCCATCTGAGACCAGGAGAGGAGCTCTGGCACAGCACGGGGGCGCGAAAGGTGCGGAGTCGATCTCTCTCACACACAAGTCTGGTTTAGGGTTTAGGGGTTTAGGGTTTAGGGGTCTAGGGTTAAGGGGTTTAGGGTTTTAGGGTTAAGGGGTTTAGGTTAAGGGGTTTAGGGTTAAGGGGTTTAGGGTTTAGGGGTTTAGGGTGTAGGGTTTAGGGGTTTAGGGGTTTACGGGTTAGGGGTTTAGGATTTAGGGGTTAGGGGTTTAGGGTTTAGGGTTTAGGCCGGCTTTTTAGGGCTCGGGGCGTGATTATCGAGTATAGGATCATTAACATTGTTTATTGTCAGCGTTGGAGTAGGGTGTTAGGTTTAATATCGGGGCCTTAATGATTACCCGACATGATGTTTGCAGAATTTGACTTCGGGCCCCATATTCTATGAGAAGGTTGGTCTTTGGAGCACGAGCTCCGTCTTGCGGTTGCCGTCGATTCGGGGCGAGGAGCTTGACTTGAGGACTTGGGCGTCATACAGGGGCTTCAAGAACAATTTGAATAGGCTTTTGGGGGTGTGTTCTGCAAAAAGGGAATAGCATTACTAATTCCTCGGACTCTGCGTACGTGTGGGGCTTAGTGGCACTTGTAGTGGAAAGTAGCCTGGGGGTGTCTTGCGCATGGCTTCTTGTAGCTCCTAGCTGGCTCTGGCTTAGCTCGCAGTATTACCTAATTGCTGATGCGCTTGAACCGCAACCCTTCAACCCTAAACCCTAATCTAGTATGCAGACCTTGCCTGGCTCGTCCGAGTGTGAGTGTCACAAAACTTGAACATGTAAGAACGCCTGAAGAAACGCGCGCAACATCGCACGTGATTCATTGGTGTTTCAGGTCCAAGCTCTTCCTCCCAAAGTCGAAAGCCCTAACTCTAAACTCTCAGGTAAAACAGCCCTGTCTAGCCCGATACTCAACGCCCTGAAAGATAAAACGTTTATTCCAGGCAAGAAGGGGTTTTAGGGCGGTGTTCGCGATGCCTTGCATTATGAATCCTTGGCTTGGGTGTAAGCTCGAAAGCCCTAAACCCTGCATGGTCCGCAACATGTAAACCGACTGCTGGGCTGCCACTGTTGCTCCTGCAGAGTCTCTACTTTCACCATGCTGGATTTGATAGGCGAATCCGGGA